CAATTATCTACAAAGGGAATGAAATGTAGAATCGATAGAATTCGATTCTATAAAAACACTTTTTCATTTTCAAACGCAGCCAGATTACGGTAAGCAATTTCAGCTCAACGGCACGTACGACAAGCAGCGACGAAGGCGACGAAGCAGGTCGAATTGTCGCTGGTCCAGGTGAAGCCTTACTCTCACACTCGATTCTTGAGTTATTTTTCATTCTCATTTCCAATGCAAATCCTTCCCTGCATCTTATTTTTTTATTCGCCTGGTTTTTTTTTCTTTCCCCCGCTACACGAAAGTTTCCTACCCTTTTACATCGCTTTGTTTTCATTGCTTATTTTTCCCTGAATCCATTTTGTTGATTTTTCCCTTATATTGTGTTGTTGTCACAGAGCTTTTCTTTTGCTTTTGTCATATCAATCCGATCAGACTCGATCGTTTGTTCCTTGCCCGAGGCGCTAAAATCAGACGTACCAGGAAAATATTATTTATGCAGAGTATGCAACCGTTTTTTAATCTCATAAAGGCAGTGGGCACGATTTCTGGGGGCGGGCGGTTGTAGCCAGCGTCATTGGTGGAAGGGCTGCGAGAGAGCATTTGGCCACGCCCACTCAGCTCTTCCACCAATAACATTGGCGACAACTGCCCGCTCACCAATCGTGTGCTTTCCCTTAAGGGCTGAGTTCACGACAATCGTCTGGGAAAAGCCACGAGGACCATTGCGGTGACCTCCTCGGTCCAGTCCTCTTCTTTCCATCTGCAACGGCACACTCTAACACTCCTCATAGAATCCTTATTAGCCTGTCCGTATCTGGAGAGAAATGGGTCCCGCACTGCCAGTAGCGATGCCTTTTCTGCGCCTAAAAAATGCACGGGGACGCGGCTGGAGGTGTTGCCTGCGCTCCGCGATCTTGCTATTGACGCAACGGCTGCACATTAAGGATACCATAGGCATAGTATGAGAACAGCAATCTGGTATCGCCCTTCTCTTCCCCCCCCGGGCATTTTTGACCGATAAGTGGCACGCCTCTGCTGAATCACCACTCACACTCGCGCCGATGGAGGGAGGAGCAGTCCTCGGATGAGTGGCATACATATCTTGTGGAAGAAGCGAGGGCCACTGGGGAAGCAACACTCATCGGGGCTATGCCCTCATCAGGCATAGACATGCAACTCCAAACTGGTGAGTTTAGCCAGAAACACACGACATTTCGTCATGACTTGTTAATAGGAACTTGCGGCGTTCTGCGGATTTCAGAAGTGCCATCCCATCGCGGACCGGGTAACCACGCATAATACCATCATTTTAATACCCATAATTTGTAATTTTATCTGATTGACCCAGCTCTTGGGAGACATATAGGCGCTGGTCGATTTGGGACCTTGGTTACTTGATTTCCGGACTGTGAATTAATGAGGTACTGTCATGACCCTGCTCACAGAGCAGCCTCTTCCACCAACGATACCATCCTGATTCCGCAACAGGTGGGAAAGGCTGCACCTGCG